AACTGGGGCAAAAACTCGTGCAGTTTTCAGCAGGCTCTGATTTCATGACCTCAGGGACCTGCAGGGGATGTATGAGTTTGTGCTGGTGCTTGTCCATACAGGGCTCTAAAAGTATTAGCAGAATCTTAAAGTGGATCCTGATACTAATGGGGAGCCAGTGCAACTGAATTAATAACTGTAAGATATGTGAGTTCTAACATGACTTAGTCAGAAGCCTTGGAGCAGTGTTCTGAACAATCTGCAGACGGTCCAAGGAAGATTTGTTAAGACAAGCGAACAATGAATTACAATAAACCAGACATGATGAAATAAAGGCATTAATAACAGTTTGCAAGCCAGAGGGTGGCACAGTGGAATTCAACTTGGAAAGATTTCCTAAGTGATACAAGTGATAGTGAACCACAGCTTTAACATGATCATCCAAAAGGAAATGTGGGTCAAAACTCACCCCAAGGTTTCTAGAAGATTTAGTAATTGTGGCAAGAAGACCTAGAGTTTCCGTTACCTAAGGTGCAAACCATTCTTAAAGCATATCTGGATAGAAAAACACAATGGGCCAGAGCCCAGACCTCAACATTACTGAAAGAGTTCAGGTTGTGTTGAAGCATAAAGGTGATGATACCAAGTGTCCATTTTGTTATAATTGTACAAACTCTGTTTTTGCACAATATACTGAATTTCCATTTACGTTGGCCCATATTTAAATAAATCCTCTATTATCCTTTTTAATAAACTAAATATAAAGGAATAAGGGCTGGTACAAAACTTTTGCACAGTATTGTACATCCATTTTGCCTAACTGGAACAATAAGTTGAATTTTCACATTATTTCTTCTTTTTTTTTTAAACAAACATCTATTTCTGATTATTAAATCAGTTTTTGTCAGCATGAAAGATACCATTTTTCAATTTCTGCATAGATGTTCTGCCATTCCTCCAAGAGCATCTTTTTTTAGTCACTCTTTGATGGAAGAGCTGCAGTGCTCTACCCTTCTCCTTGTAACATACTTCAAGCAACATGCTTGACCATGTTATGCTGCTTCTTTAGTAATCCGTTTTTACTTTTGCTTTGAGATATTCCTCTACTGACAAGCCTTGGTCAGCTGGCTATCTTCTTGTTAAACAGCATTGTGGTATACCCACATACATTCATGGTGCCAACTATTCTCTCCTATAGCCTCATGCATTTCTCTGACCTTTTCACCTTCTGCATCACTGTTGGAACTGCATTCATATTGACGCCATTTTAACCAAAGAATTCCCAAAGCTATTTTTCATGTTCTTTAGTAGACTTCAATTTTGTGCCACAGAAAATAGTCCACACATGTCCAAATTATGCAACATCCGCTGTACTATTTGCATTTTGCTCCACTGACAACCCCTGTACCAAGTCAGAAGCGCTTGTCTGTTATTCAGAGGTAGATTCGGGAGTAGGTCAATGTCTGCAGTGTCACTTGCTGTAGATTTAGTTGGTGCAAAGTAGGAATAAACACACACACCCTCAAAAAACAAACCCCCAAAAGTCTACATTACATAATCAGCCAAGTAAATGGATGGAACATAAAGCATGGGATGGGTCCTTGATAAGTTTTACTTGAAAATGTTATTTCATTTAAATAATGTATTACAATAGCCCGTTAGGCAAGAGAAACCCCAGTTAACATTTAGAGGTAAAGACAACAAATGAGTTGCCCTTTCAAGCTGGAAGACTAGAACAACCAGCAGTCACCGATTTGCTGAGAGGAGCACCTTCATGTAACTATAGGCACAGCAATACGCTCATTGGTCTCACTGATTGGTGCTTTTTAAGTAGGAAGTGCAATTTTTTAATGCGATTCCCATCTGTACTGGCAACCAGTCCAGTGGTGAGATTACTGGCTCACTGCACTTTGGAAGACAATGGAATAGCTTAATAGCCAATGATTTAAACTTTTTCCCCACTAACAGTATCTCATAAGTAAATCTGGCAGATAAAAGCACAAAAACGTACGCGCACACAGACACAAACAAAGTGACAAAGCTGTGTTGTGGTGAATGGGCTTTATTGGCATACATATTCCTTAGTCTCTGCACTTTTAGTGAAATATAAAGATTCAGCTTCAACGTAGTAATGCAAATTTCACACACATAGGAAATAGAGTCACAAAGCACTAGTTTGATGCCATCTTCATCAAAGCACACTTGTTCTTGAAATGCCACATGGCAAAAAAAAAAATTCCTATGTGCAGGTAATGGTAGCGACCTGTAAAGTTTGCAGGTCTAAGGCACTGATTTCTGGTGTTTAGACATCCCAATTCAGATGCAGGATTTCAACAAATGAACACAATAAACAAACCGAGCTACTCTCAGCGTCATAATTGAAAATCGCACACACGCACACAGACACACACGCACACATTTCATATGCACCAGGTTATCGACGCGCCTAAGCTACTTCCACTGACAGTGAGGCTAGTCCTTCTGTTAAGAGTGATATTGAAAGCACAGGTATAGTGTTGTTGCTGGGTCCAGAGTAATGGCTTACCTGGATAATTTTGTACATCATTCAAACACTTCATCTAGACTTTGGTTTCAGGTTTCACCATGCTATATTCAGATCAGGTCTCAACGAAAGCTGGACCACTACGTCTCGGAAAAGTAAGACACACATAGAGGGAAATGTTTAATCCCTCACAAAAAGGAAAAAAAGCACCAGAGAGACTTTACTAAGTATAACATGGGAACAAGATGAACTCCAACTCAAGCCAATAACATAATGTATAAAGAAGCAAACTTTCTTTTGGCAGCAATGTTATTATTTTAGCCGTAAGATACAAATAAATTCATGGTTGTGGTTGAACTAAAGCCTAAGAAAGCTAAAGAGAATGAAAGAGAAGTGCAATGGTCAGGTAGTGGCCTACTGTGGCAGTTCTACAGGCAACAAAATTTTAAAAAGCACTAGTAGCTCTACCTTGTTATGCAACATTCTGACAAGAGGTTGTACGAGGCGCCAAGCAGTCAGTTTTCTGTGTACTCAGCGCCTATATTTAAACAACCCTCAACCTCACTACCTTTTCAAACAGTGACTTCCATATTCCAAAACAGTGATAACTCGACAGTTTTCTTTTCGTAATAACTGCAAAAATATAAGGATTGTAGTAAAAAAAACATAAAACAAAAAGCAACCCCGAGGCTAGAGTAGGGGTGCAGTAATACAATCAAACATGACAGTACTCAACACAAGGGAATCCACTGATACGCTTTGATTGAAACTAACAAACATCAACACAAACACTTAAAAATGTAAAAAAAAAAAAAAAAGGATAATAATTAACAGAGCAGAGAAACATAATAAAGTGAGTTAAATCAAGTATGGAAGAAGGATGATGGCGTGCACCCTCTTCTTTCATTGCATCCCGACTTAGGCCTCCTTTGTGCTGGCCTTCATCTTCTCCACTGTCTCCTATGTTTAAAACAGGGAAAAGAAACGTGAGCTATAGTGTCTCATTTGACATGCTGACTGAAACAGTATTTCTGGAAATCGCACGCCTTTCCCGTTAATATCAGCACTGCATTTGTTTGAAGGTGAATTTGGTGTCACCTATCGAAACTTGTACACACGATGAACCACATTTGTTTACAGTGGCACTACCAAGTATTCCTCTGGGGTGCAGAGTACACGGCTTTGCTGACTCAGTCATGGCCTCAAGCCAGATTCCTAGAGCTACCTTGCGGACATCACGGTTACATTCACGCACACAAGCAGACGCACAAGTTACAAAAACAGCAATCTGCAAAAGATTTTGTACTTTTGCAGATTGTTCTAAATACATGTGCCAATTAGTCTACTCCTACTAAACCTAATGCACTGCCTGTGAATCAAAATAAGCAAGAAACGTTAAAGGAAGATGTCAACACATAAATCTGTTAAAGGTAAAAGAAACTCAAGCATTGATGGGGTTTTTTTTTTAAGGCCATCTGCCCTACATTTCATATCAGCAACATCATTTTATGGCTCTAAATTTGAAAACATCGCTCTCCTTTGGATTTATTGTTTCACTTGTTCTGTCAGAAGCAATAAAGCTGCTGATACTGTGGCTCGCCGAGCTCTGCCAGGTTGGAACGCATCAAATATTTACAGCGACCTATTCCTCTGTCGGTTGTATTGAGCAATTTGATTTGAAAGGAACTACAGGTAATCAAGGAATATAAAAGCAGGCACGAGGCTATTGGCTCATAAAGGTTATATTTAGTGGACCTTATAACCAATTCTACAAGCAGTGGACAGTGAATGAGCTTTGGAGTGCAGTAGAACCAAGTGGGGAGAAAATCAAATATTAGGTTCTAAGGTTGGGAAAACACTTATAATTTTTTGATTTATCTTGTCTTTAACTCGACTGATATACTGTACTTTTTTTGATGGGATTTAGTTTACAGATACACACCTGGTGCTTGTTGAGCTCGGCCACACGGAGGTTCCACTCCTCCTCAGTCATCTCCACTCCAGCATCTGCTAAGTCATCCACAGCTGGCTGGTTATCTGGTCAGATTACACAACGGTTAAGTGGAATGTGTGCGTGTAAACAAACGGGATAAATGCCATTTTCAGGGTTTTTTTTACCAGTGCACGTCATGGCGGTGCAGACCCAGTTGCCGCATGCACAAACGCAGCGATTGCACTCCACCTGGGTCTCTGCTCCATCCTCATATGTTTCATCCTCCAAGGCACATTCTGCACAAAGATAAAGAACACGCTACCTAGATAAGGCCACAGATAAGACTCTAGTAGAACAATAAAAGTTTTACATTGGTACCAATTTTATGACTTTTACGAGTTGCCAGCATTTTAAAATGCTGCATCATTCATCCACCAGCATAACCACAGTGTCACATTCTTTTGGTTACTTTTGCTTAGTCACAAACACTCAGCAAAACAGCCAACGCCAACCATAAAACCTTTGTGTGTAAACTGGAGAAACTATTATGTAAAAAGAGAAAAAAAATCAAATGCCTTAACCAGGCATGAAAATCTTGATTTGCATTTGAAATTTTGCATGTGGACTAAACCCAGAGTTTACACAGCTAACAGTTAGTTCACCAAATAAACGTGTGCGTCCTTGAATCTGGTGTAGCTCCAGAGTTAAGTCAACCGCAGAGATTGGCTGCTGGAGAAATGCCCCCTCTTCCTGCGAACTTTATCCCAGATATATCAGCACCAGTCAACTGAACAGATTGAAGGGCTGAGTCTCAAAATCCTAAGAAAACAGCAGCTGCACTACTGAGCTTTCTGTGCTTCGGTCAATTTATATAGTAGATCTAATGGTGTGCTACATTATGTCAAAGTATCACTCCAAGCTCACTCTTCTCTGGTGGATTGAAGCCAGGCTTCAGGCAGTTAAGAAACTCATCAAAGCTCAGCTTCCAGTCGGCATTCTCATCGGAGAGCTCAATGAGGGCATCAACACACAGGCTCCTGGGGAACGAGAAGCACACAAACACAGAATAAATATTAGCTGTTACATACAGTAACAGTGGACCATTACAGAACCAATGCAAATGCTGTAAAAATCATTTTGATAGCTGCTTTTCTTTTTTTCTACACAGAGTGCAGGTGTTTTTGCCAATATGGTTTCCCACAAGAGGCCTGCAATAATGTTTGCTCTGGCCAAGATCAGGTTCAATGACTTGTCTTAAAATAGTGCTGCAGCACAAAGATAAGATTTTCTACGCACAAGCAGTACCATTGGAAAAATAAATATGTGAAGGCTCTCTCACCTCTTCCACTTCCACACTTTTTCGTAAACATGCAAACTTGCAGACACACTAACCGGAGCAGGTTGTTGCTCTCCTGGTCTGCATAGGACTGCAACTCCACAACTGACTCGTTGTGCTGGATGAATTTGAGCAGCTCTGAGGAGTCCAGCTGAGAATCACCACTGTCATATGACTGCAAACACACAGACTCATGTGCATGAGGATTGAACACAAAGAACTCTGTAAGAAGTCATTTGGGGTTCTGATCCACAGGCTGGGTAGGCTGTAGCGCTACATTAACATTTTTATTCATTTATTCATTTTTTTTAAATGACTAGTTGTTGTTCAAACTGATTTAGCATCCAAGCTGACTACTGTTTGACTACTGTACATGGGCTTCATATATGATGATGAAATAAGAAAATCTTGGGCATAAGTAAAGTTTTAAATCGTCCAACACAAAACCCCCCATCTTTTGCTATAATGGCATTCATGTCAAACCATGGAGAGGAAGGGGCCCTCCTCTGCAGAACAAAGTTCCTCATTAAACTGAATTATCACCACCAGCTGACTCGCTTGAAAGGTCTGTCACATGAATAATTAGACACAGTCCCAGGCAGCTTTAAAAAGCAGGCGGACTGAAAGAGGCCCGCGTGGACAAATAAACTGGGGTATTCTGTGAAAACACCGGTTTTGGAGCAGTGGTGAGCATAAAAACAGAAAAGGGTTAATTCTGCCTACCTTGAAGTATTTGAGCAGGATGTCAGAGAAGTTGGAACCCTTGACAAACCAGCCATCTGGGATAATCTCAGTTTGCAGCCACTGGATCACACGAGATCTTAACTCGTTGCGGTCAGCAGCATAGCAAACCACTGCAGGAGAGGGGATATTTCCAGAAGTCAGCAGCATGAATAAATAACCCAGTGCACCTGGTATACTGTGCATCGGTGTATTCAGGCTCAATATGTTCTTTCAGTTAGACCATAAATGTCTGCTACTGTATAGCACGTGTGTTAGTAAACTGTAACCCATCCATGTAACCATGGACTAGACCTTAATATGCCAGTACAATATCCAGTGAAAAAATTACAAATACATTCAGTTGTAAATTAATTTATATGTTTATATAACCCGCAAACTTGATAAGGATAAGTGGAAGAAAAAGGATGGGTGAATGGATGTTTATATAAGCAAAAAGAGCATGCACGCACATACACATAAACTTACCTGGACTGGCAGCAGCCTGTTCTGTTTTCTTTTCTAAAGGTGATTTGAAAAAAAAGAGAGAAAGAAACAACATTTGATACAAAACCTGGAGAACATTATTGGAGATAAACATGTCTGTCATTGAACAATTGGCCAAAGGTCTGCAAAGAGCATGCTGTGACATAATGATTTTCCCTCGCTGACCTTTCTGTCACCGATCAATGTCCAGGCTAGCCTTCTTCAAGTTCTGCATTTTGTTTTCTTTCTTTGTATCTTTCTTTCTAGTTGTACATTTTTGTTATTCCTTTGTGATTTCATTTTTATGTTTGATTTTCTTTCTGAAAATCAATGTAATTTCTTTTCTTTTCAGACTGCTGCTGGACTTCATGACACACACTGAGCACTTCTTCTCCCCGTACTTCTTTTCTCTCCTCACGTGTTTATACACCACTGCAGTATGCCACTAAATGTTTGTCTTCTCTCTGCTTTAATCTGTGTTTTTGTTCTGCCTCCCTATGCTGTCTTTTTCTTTTCTTGTCTTTGTCTTTCTCCTCATCCCCCAGCTGGTTGCAGCAGATGGCTGCCCCTCTCTGAGTTCGGTTCTGGCGGAGGTTTCTTCCTGTTAAAAGGGAGTTTTTCCTCAGGGATCTCCTTATTGTTGGGCTCTCACCAGAATATTGTAGGTTCTTTACTTTACAGTATGAAGTGCCTTGGGGAAGCTGTTTTTTTGATTTGGGGCTATATAAATAAACCTCAACTGAACTGAACCTCAGCTGAAATTAGTTTCAGAATTAGCTTTGCTTATTTATTTATTTATTTATATGTATTATTTGCATTACTTATGTTGACAAATTTGACCAAAGCATTTTAGATTATATATCACAGATTAAGGTCCAGTTAACTAAACAACTTCATGTCAGCAGGGACCAGCAGGGAAGTGAAAGTTCACTCGAGATCAGATAAGATACTAATACTAGATATATGAAGAGGTGGGTACAGGGCAGAGGTGTGATAAAAATGATAGTGCAGTGTCATGGAAGGGGACATTGTATGACTGTCAACCCAGTCACCTCATATTATCAGTTCAGTGAATGTATGCTAGTTCAGAGATCACATACTAATCAGTTTAATTGCTTACTATCAGTGCTTTCACAATTAGTCGGGTGAGCTAAATGACATTACTGAAAAGGGGCCAAATTGGCCTTTTTAGGCCTCCCATTGTCACTAGATCTCAGGGATTCACTTATACTTAAGCTTCTACTCTGTACCTGACAGTCCGGCAGAGCGATGTGGTGTCACCGCTGTTGTTCAACATCGTCATCGATGCGATAATGCGCAAAACATTCAAGGGCCGCCGCGGAGTCCAAGCCTCGACCGATCAATTTATCACCGATCTAATGTTCGCTGACGATAGCGCCATTTTTGCCGAAGACGACACCGAGGCGACTCACATCCTCTACTCCAAACCGTACGGCCTCAAGATTAACGCCGAGAAGACCAAAGTCCTGACCACCGACGGCTCACCAGCGATCGTCCACCTCGACAGTGTGCAGATCAAACAAGTCCAACAATTTAAATATCTGGGGTCCCTCGTGGAGGAGACGAAAGTGGCATCATCATTGGAGATACGCTCCAGAATTGGGCAGGCGGCAGCGTTCGCTTCCCTGTGCTGGTGCGTTTGGAAGAAGAAGAACATCTCATTGACAAAGATCCGCCTTTACCGAACCCTGATCCTGCCCATTCTACTTTACGGCGCGGAGACGTGGACAATGCTCAAACACGACCTGAGCAAGCTCAAAGTTTTCCAAATGCGTTGCCTTAGATGCATTCTCGGCGTTTCCCTTCGCAACCCTCATTCGAATGACACCATCCTCACCAGCTGCGGCAGCCAACCGACGATCGGCGACCTAATCCAGCGCCGCCGACTCCATTGGTTTGGCCACATTTGTCAAATGGACCAGAGCCGCTACCCCCATGGCCTACTCTGGTTGACCCGCCCCACCGATTGGAGGGTGCATCGAAATGCACCAAAAAAGACATGGATGAAACAAATCCAGGATGATTTAAAGGCCCTTTGACTTGACCTCGAGCAGGCAAGAACCATCGCCTTAGATTGAAAAGCGTGGAAGATAATCGTTGGTCAAGCAAGAGAACCTGCGGCACCTACAGCAGCGTACTGGTCCTCTCTAGTAATTCAGTCATGACAGGTTCCAAACTGTGTTTTCATCTTTTCATCTCTATAGCATTCTCGTGTTATCTTGGCTTCCACTGCACTCTAAACAGTCAAGTATTTCGTTTTTGAAACAAAACAGAGCTGAATAGTATCCATTAGCTGCAATAGACTGCCAGCCTGTCCATGATGTACCCCACCTTTCACCATATTACAGTGGGGATATGCTCCAGCATCCCTGAATTAGATATGTGCAAGAAAATCAATGGATGGACCACTCAGTGCTTGAATCAGTGCTTAATAGGTCAGTTGAATGAGAAACCTGATTTGCTATGTCCTATCCTATCAAAATGTTGTTTCTGTGTGTACATTTTTTAAATTGTAAAAATTAAAAAAAAAGAAAGAAAAAACCCTGAAAACCATTCAAGGCAAGAAAGATGATGATGTTAAAAAAACATTTTTTAGCAAAAAATCATTTAACAATTTTTGAAAAATACATTTTCAATGTCTAACATGAAAATTATGCAACTTCCATTTCCATTTCCAAGGACGATTGTGTGATAATTATGCCGGTTTGAACTGTTTTATCAACATTTGTTATCCGTACCCTTGCAGTTTCCGTCGTGTGCCACTTGGATCTTCAGGCCAGTCAGACAAGCATCTCTGTGGAGCTCACAGTGATTCCTGTAGGTCTTACCATTGCTGCCACATACTGACCTCTTGTGGGGCTTACAGCTCTGCAAAGAAACAAAGTGCAAAGGGAATGAATGTGAAGTGAAACCAAGGGGAGTTTGTAATCCAAATCTATTATTTGGACATATATTGCTTCCTTGCGTAAAAGCAATGACCCGACACTCACCTCTATGCACAGACAGCTGGGCTCCCCCTTCTCATTGACAGCGCACTCCCTGCCGGCCCCGCAGAACACATTAGCACACACTTTGCTCTTGGTCTGCACCTCCTGTAAGGCAAAATAAGTTTGTGATGGTTGAACACAGGGTGGCGCTGTTGTGCTTTTCAAACAGAATAGCCAATCAAGTCAAACAGGAATCTGCAAACGGGATCCAAAACACAAATATTTAACTTTCACAATAAGCCATGTGGAACCAAACTCATGTCACAGATAAAGAGATCGTTTCGCCCAATTAACTGACAAGAGTCTGTCCCCTGATGGCATCCGAGATGAAAGCTCACCGATCTTGCACTGCACTCAGTCTAGGATTTTTGTATCTGTTTCCTATCTTTTTTAGCAAGATACCAAGAATTACTTAAATCATTTTGGTAAATAAGCTCAGTTGCTTTGTGCACATAGTGGTTCATAATGTTTCATTGGAGACTCTGAGGAATCCTCAAACAACTGACTGCATTTCAATTTTATTTGTTCCTTTCTCATCAACATGATAAGCAAAAAAAGCAATATTTACGTGCTCAAACAAATGTGTCCTGGTTTATTGCTTATCTTTGTTGTTTTTTTATGTGTGTGTTAGTATCTGCACTTTTAATGAGGTCTCCAGAGCTGTCTGAATTGTTGCCCTGTCAGTGACAGTTAGACTTGGATCCAGAAGTTGGCATGAAATAAGGCAGAATACAGAAAACATGTAAGTGGGATGAGTTCCTGCTGGACCACGCTGCCTCCTCGAAAATACTCTTTTTCTTTCATCCAAATGTCTCCAGCAAATCTGTTTCAGTTAAACAGCCTTTTCTCTCACATTTAGCGTGTCTCATTCGCTCTCGTTGACACTCATGGACACACACACCGTCTCATTTGCTCGTCTTGACATCTTGTGTTTGCTCATTTTAGGGACTGCCAGCAGACTCAAGAAATGAGCTCTAGCAACCAATCAGAAGACGCCAAGTGGTGCTCCAAGAGCTGGTTTATGACCCTCATTACCGCCTCCTTTCCCCATCTGTTTGTTTTTGTATGTGTGCCATTGTGTGTGCGCTTGCATTTGTTTGTGTGCGTACTCGTGTGTGTACAGGGTGTTTCCACATCTGGAGTCTGAGCTGTGTTTTCCTTTAGGCCCATTCCCATGCAGTGCAAAATCTTTTCTCCCCCCCGACTCCACTCCTGCTCCCTAAGCTGCTGTTTCCTGTAACAGCGAGACAGAAGTTGGCCTTCTTTGTGTGCCTGCACGTGAGCTGGCTTCCAACTTTGTCTCTCTGTGTATGACTGCAAGGTCTGGTATGTAGGTCAAAATGAAGGTGGGATGTTGTTACTGAACCTTCTTGAGCTCTCATGATAAAATGTAACAGGATGGATTTCAGAGCTAAAGGGATGACAGTGGGGGAGCAGTCACATGCAATCATCACAGTGTAGCAATTTTGACTCAAAACTGGTGAGAGGAATTCGGTTCTATGCATGCTTCAGAGACATATACATACACACACTTCCTATCCTAAGATGAGGTCATGGAAAAATCTTCAAAGCAACCCCCCCCCCGGCCTTGAACATGTTGGACAATTCAGTTTCTCAGACACAGATGGGCAAGAGGCCTGTTGAAACCTGCAGAAACCTCCTCTGAGAACATGAATAATAGATGGGCTCCTTAAGATGAATCTGGTACAAACACGGAGTTCTGTCTGTCCATCTCCCTCCTAGCAGAACCAGCTGAGAATATCTGACATTTAGCTAATGAATACAGAGGTAGAAGGTCCCTTTTTTTGCAGCTGATTCATGAGCTTTGTTGCCATAGTGAGAACATATACTGGCTTCTTTTGATTACAGAAGTGTCAGTCAAGTAAGCCAGATGGAAGAAAGCCTCAAAATGAGATCTCAGCAGGGCTCTTTGGACATACAGTGCTGTGAAATAAGCATTTCTCCCTTCCTGAGTTCTTTTTTCATGTTTGTCACTCTTACATATTGCAGATCATCACACCATTTTTTTCATTAGACAAAGATAACCAAAGTACAAATATACAGTACAAAGTGCAGTTTTTGAAATGATGATTTCATTTATGAAGGGAAACCAAACCTACCTGACCCTATGTGAAAAAGTAATAGTCTCTTAAACCTAATAACAGGTTGTGCCACCCTTCACAGCAAAAACTGCAATCAAGTGTTTGTGATAACTGGCAATGAGTCTTTCACATCACTGTGGAAAACTTTGGTCCACTCTTCTCTGCAGATCTGTTTTAAACAGATAATTCATGCTCGAAAACGGATTCAAGTCTAATTCCAGTCCCAACGCTGACTAGGCCACTACAAATTTTTTTTTGAGTTTTTGCTGCCAGCGGTGGCACAACCAGTTATTAGGTTTATGGAGCATTTACATTTCTTTCACACAGGGCCAGATAACCTTTTTTTCTCCCCTTAATAAAGTAAATCATCATTTAAAAATGGTATCTTGTATCTTCTTAGGTTATCTTTGTCAAATATTAAAATCTCTTTGATTATCTGAAACATGTAAGTATGCCAAATATGCGATAAAATAAGAAATCATGAACAGGGCAAATACAGCACTGTAAAAGAAAATAACAGATGAAATAGTCTCTTCGTGTGTTCTTGGGATGCCACAAACTCAGTGCATAAACCATGCATGGACAATGCAGAGGGATAAATAAAAACTACACATAGCAAATGTCAGAGACATATGGTCACATTTCATGCGTCTAAGAGGAGAAAAATTAGTAGACTTTTAAATCCCCAAATATTGGTGTCAGCTTTACTCCTACAGGGAGTTATTTGGAGTATTATTTCTGCATGCTATTCTATATGCTGTTACAACATAAAAGCATAAAAGCTTAATTTTATTTACTTGAGTGTTAGTAGCCTGAAAATATGAGAAGTTTTTTTTTAATCATTGTTGTTATCACTATTTTACTTTATTTGGTAAAGAGCTTCCCATGTTTCCCCTCTTTGAATCTTTATGTAGTCCCAAGTTCATACGCTGAGATTGATATCAATGTTTTTATTCAAGTGGGTATCACTTTCTGTTTACACATTGTAGGGACTTGGCATCAACCTCACCATAACTAAAAGGCACTCATTAACACAGTCACCAGCAGAGCAGACATAAAATAAGACATGCCACAAAGTCAGCACAAACAAAAACACACCCATTATGCATGTCCCAGATAAATTATTATTTTTAATTTACTGACAACAACTGCCTTCTTTCCCATTTAAAACCAATCAGTGTTCTCATAAGAGACTGGTGAATCATACCAGAGTCCTTCATACAAAGAGCTTCCCTAAGCTCATTACAGTCAATACGGACACATTTCACAGCTCACGACACTAATCTCTTGCCCCGCGTTTCACATGTTTTCTATTTCAGTGTTTTAGTCACGAGGCTGAAACGACTTAAAGGTTTCTAAAAGACTTTTTTTTTTCTCCAAAAACTCTTTGCATCATTTCCATCTTTTTATATCAGCGTGGCAACTCTCATTTCAAGTCTTGCTTTCATTTCTGCTATTCTTTAGTTCTTTCTCTTGTCATCTCATCTCTAGCACCATGCCCTTTTACAGATGCAAGACACGTGTCTGTGAACGAAGGCCAGCCTTGAAGAGCTAGATGGAAATCAGAGGACGAAAATAAGAGAATAGTAAGAGTCTGAATAAAAGGAGAAAGTTGTGAGGACAGTCTGAATATTAAGAAAGAGGTGGGTAGTGAAGAAGAGGAGGGGGGCATACGAGCATGTTATATGGCTCGTTGATGAGGCGGACTTGAGTTAAAGTGGAACACATCCTTGCTTTAGAGAACAAAATGCCCTTTTATCTTTTATCCAATGAAGACAACAGTGAAAAGGCACACTAACTAAAGGCACCTAAAGGCACCTTGCACAACACATAAAAAGCATCAGAACATCTGCTCTGCCTTTGCACGCCTTTCTTATCTCTGTGTCCTCAAAGACTCAAAACAGTACAAGCAGCAGCATATTTGTCTGTATTTGCATGCTCAGTGTGTGTACCTTCAAATATCTTGGAGATGTTCCACTAATCGAACAAGCCGATCAATGCCTCTCTACTGTTGATGTCATTTACAGCCACCGTGAGCACTTCCCATATTGCACCCTGCCCCTTATTAGCATAGAAAACATTAACCTAGAGATTGCACTGAAGTCCCTGCCATAGATATGCCTACAACAGTGAAGAGAATAATGGAAGCAACTGCAAAAAGGCAGTAAGTGCAATAAATACAGAGTGTGGCATTTCTAATAATACTAAAAGATTAGTTTCATCTGTTTGATTGGATTAGTTTTGGACACAATAAATCTAATTCAATAGAATCCAATACAACGAGTCTGCAGTTCGACTGTTTTCACATAGAGCTTCTTTTGCCTGTCTGCTGTGTTCGAGAGGTGTTGATTCAGCGCTACTTTCACTGTGTAGGCTGTACTTTCTGGTGCTGTTCATTCGTACTGCATTATAAAAAGGTACAGGGTAGATCAGCTTGAGCTGCTTCAACATCTGTATGACACATAGAGTTTCATCGATATCTGAATGTGAAAGGCTCGAAAAGGCTTTTCAAGAAGTTTGGATTTAATGCACGGGTGTAAGAGACACCGCACTGTAAATGATGCAGGCTGGGCCACTTGAAATATTGAAATGCTGAATAACAATGAAGGAACTGCAGCACACTGTTACACATGCTGCTGTCGTACTGAGACACCAATAAGGCTTCGGTTTGTGAGGAAGCAGAGGAAATATTTACAGTGATATTGAAATCTAATCTAAGTATGCACACAGTTGTCTGTTCAATTTACTGCTTATAAAAAGCATCTATTTCTCCATATTTACATAACAAACTGGCAAATTTGAAGAAAAATGAAAACTATCACAAGCAAAAAAAAGAAAGACTACTGAAATGAGAAAAATAACAAGTAAATTATTTTCATTTGATTAAAAAAATTAGCTTTTTCAAAAACATGTCACGTCCTTGCACAGAGTTGGTTGAGAAAGGTTATATAAAAAGTCTTACATTTGAATATAGGAGTGAAGGAAAAGTTCTACACTTTAGAG